CTGGAGCGGGTCTGGGCGGGGGCCTGCGGCGCGGCCGTGGGCTGCGTTGCGCGCACGGTGCCCTCACACGCAAGCCCGGCTCCCTCTGCCATGAACAAACCTGTCACAGGAGCTGTTCTCTTAATTCCTGCACTAGAAAGGTAGCCACGTGCGAAGGATGGTTTTCATAATTAAGACATAACTGGACTTCTTAGGCTCAGACTTGAGAGTATTATTGCCACCTTTTAAAAGCTAGTGTTTGACTTCTTCCAGTTCAGAAGGGTCCTGCCTGCATCCAAACTGGTTTCATGGCCACCATCTGCATCTGGTCTGAAGGCAGGAGAGGAATGTGTGCTTTCTTGGTTTTTTCGACTTATTTCTAACTTGCTAAGTAACACAGTTTACATGACTTAAAAAAAAAAAAAAACAAAACAAAAAACAGTAATCACAGGTCTTTATGATCAAGGCCTGGGGAATCTGTTTTGTTAAGCTGTCCATGTGCCTATGGCAACATGCTCGACTATTTCAGGGTCTTTGTTTTGCTTTTAGCAAAATTTAGCTTAACAAGATGTACATGCTTATTTTGTTTTTATAGTCTTTAATTTTGTTTTTTCTCACATTCTGTGAGTTAAAGAATGAAAGTGAGAGTTCACAAGACATGTTCAGCCCTCTTGTTAATTTTAATGCTTGAGGAAGTAATTTTCTCTCGTGATGGAGGACTAAGGGAAGATTATGGTTAGAGGTTGCTTGCACATGTGGTTAAAGTACTTTACAATTTTTATTTTTTTGATAGGATTTTATTCCCAGTGTTTGCAGTGGGGAAGTACAAGGTTACTTTTATTTGGCTTTATTTAGCAGTTCCACAGAATAGAATTTAAAACAGAAGTAGCCACAGTGCTGTCACTGTGGGCTGGCTTGTAAACCTGAATTTTAAACCTTCTGTACAGTGCCTGTGATGGCAAGTGGCACTCAGATGGCATGAATCCATTTTTTTCATAATGCCTACTCCAGACAGGTTATAACAAATGGAGAATGTAAATGCAAAATGGCATAGAAAAAGAGTAGAAAACTCCAGGTACCATACATCAAATTGAGGTAGAGAATCCATTTGGTAGCTCGGCAGGGAAGGCAAATGGATATAACAAATGTGTAATAATTTTTTAGACTTAAGTCTGCAACTTTGCATGTTGTTAATATGCATCAAATCATAGAGTTGTTTAGATTGGAAAGGACCTTCAAGATCATTGAGTCCAACCATTAACCCAGCACTGCCAAGTCCATCACTAATCCATGTCCCTGAGCACCACATCTACACATCTTTTAAATACCTCTGGGGATGGTGACTCCTCCATTTTTCTGGGCAGCCTGTTCCAGTGCTTGACAACCATTTCAGTGAAGAAATGTTTCCTAATACCCGAGCTACATGTTAAATATGAAGTTTAAACTTCGCACAGAAGAAAACTTGGAAATTCAAGCTGTATTTGAAAGGGAAATAATTAATATGTTACCTGAAAGGGGGCAGGGGGGGAGATAATATTGCTGCCATTGGTCTTTTTCAGGTTTGTAAATAGACTCAAATCATAATTGTCTTAGCGTTGTTTGTTTCATTTTAGTAGTGTTCAGAAGAACATATAATGCAAAAATCTAAGAGCAGCTTGAAAGACAAACCTTTCAGAAGGTTGTTGGGTTGTGTTTGATGTCACAGTCTTTCTTCCTCCCCTCCAAATACTGTTCTTGCCAAATCAAAATTCATTATCTGCATGCAAGTGCTCACAGTGGTTGGAAAGCATTTGAACTGTGGAGACTTGGCACACAAAAGGTCATAGGTAAATTTTCTCTTAGTTAATGAGTTTTCTGTGAACTTTTCATGGGTGAACTAGCTTCATTAACTATGAATGTTTCTGCTGACCTTAGCAGAGCTTAGGAAATGTGAATAAATAATTAAAGATGTGTCCTGCACCATTAAGGAGTTTGTAAACACTGAAGTCCAAATTTTGTAAGCATTCAGATAATTGCTGAGGTTGACCTCCCTGAGGCTTGATCATATGCAAAGCCTAGACTTTTGCTTTCTAACTGAAAAAGAGGAGTGTATAGGGAAAAGCTTCCTTAAGCTACATTGTTTCTAAATAAGGTGACAACAACCATGAGGAAATTCTTATGTGTCAAGAGTGTCTGCTAAGAATCAGACCTTTGTCTGACTTCAGACCATACAACTCACTAGCAGAATAGTTGTCAGAATGTATTCTGAAGCATCCAGCTAAAGCTGTAACTTTGATTTTGCTTTTTAATGTAGCACAGAGAAAGATCAGTGACAGTTTTGTGACCCTGTTGCTTATTTATTTCTTGGGGTATTTAAGGTCAGAGAAGTTCATAGCTACATCAGTTGTGCTCCACAGAGGGGGAAAAAAAAAAAAAATGCTGAGTTTGAATACTTCTTCCGTTCTATTTTGATTCTGAAGAAGCATTCATTCTATGTGTAAATAAAGATCATTGAATTTTGGGTGCTGAAGCAAGAGCAAATATTCTCTGCTGGGGAATTACAGTCACTGAAGCAGTAGGTCTCTATATTCATGTGACATTGTTCAGATGAACTCATGTAATGTGGCAGTAAGCCTGGCTTAAGGCAATGATATTTTTTCTTGTGGTTTGGCTATTTTATTGAAAAATGAGTAGAATGAGCTCTAAAGTCAAGCTGACCAACTTGACATAAAGTAATAGAGAATACTGTTAAATCAGATTAGCAGTTTGAGTTGATAATATGTCGGAGCTGTGACTTCAGATAAGACTAAAGTCTTATGGCATGAATGAGAGTAGTGAATTCCAGCTTGCTGAATCCTTACCAAATGTTTAGGTTGAACATTACTACATGTTGTATTTCTGCTTGCTATAAACCATATTCCTTGATGAGCCAGTTTCCTCAAGCTTGCAGCATTATTTAACTCTTATTGGAGACTTGGGAGTGCATGTTGTTGAGAGGAGTGGCAGTGAAGTTGCAGCTGAAGGTAGCAGTGATGCAGAGCTCTGGAAAATGCCTAATGTATGTGTGTGTATTTGTTTGAAAGGAACATGTGCTATCTGCTAAGAATTTATCCTGTATGTCTGTTCACAGCACTTTAGTCTGCAGGGGTTTTGGCTATAGGCTGAGATGGTAAGACTAGGAAAAAACACGTTGAGAATCACATCTCAATGAGCTTTCATACTGTGGGATTAAGGTTTTTGAGGAGCCTGCCAGATATTTTAACCCAAATTCATGTCTTTTATAAAATATTTGGAGTGTAACTGACAATTCCCTTAAAACTTTGTGTAATGTTAGCGTAATTAAATGTGAAGGTCCTTTTTATTGCTTCTGACTAGGTTTTAAAGTGGGTTAACATGGAATTCTGTAATAACAGTAATTATTTTTTCTAATGGAAGCAGCAAGTGTTTTGTCTCACTTTTTAAGATGTTTGCTAATATTTTTTTGTTTATTGCTGTCAACGGCAAATAAGGTAAGTTGCAAGTAAGAGGTAAGGCCTTGTGCCTAATTAGGAGGTACTTAAGCCATTGGATGTAGTAAAGTATTTATTAAACTTCTGTGGGATGCCTTAAATAGTCTGTTTCTAGGAAATTTTGAATTCATCTTCACTGGAAAGGTGATAGAGGTTATTCTAAAAAAAGAACTTTCTGTCTTTTTGGAGGGTTAACTCTGTGATATAAATATTAGGTCAATCTTGTATAAATACATTTGCCAATATGTAGTTTTTTTAAATGCACAGAATAATTCTTCTTGTACTCTTCTGTGTGATACAGGTGATACTGGCCAAGGAGCAAGAGCATGGATAAAACAAATTTTGAATCAAGACATGGCTTTCCAACATATAAAAGTAATTTACCCAACGGCTCCTGCCAGGTATTGTTTAATACATTTTAACTGTAGGATTAAATTACTCTATTCCAGTACTGTAAAATACACTTGTGAATAGTGGTATGGACTGTCATGACACTTCCACCTTCTTTCTCATGTATGTTTTTTGGCAAAACTGGAGCTCAACAGTGCATTGTTGCACAGGGACTGTGATTTTAAGCTGTTAAGACTTCACAGAAGTCACAATCTCAAATTCAGGTATTGTCCTCATACCATATTTCCATCTTCTTGGTACAAATAGAAGAAAATACTCCAATGTGTGTTGATTGTAATGGCATTATAGAGCCATGTTCTGAATCACAGTCCTACCTATATTAACTCCTATAAATTGACCACTAAAATATTCAGTTTTATTTAATGCCAGGTTTCAGTTCTGAAGGTCGTTGGTCTTTTTGGCAAGTAGGATGTGAAAGATCTTAAGCTGCTAGGGAAAAGACTGAGTATAAAGTTACACATTTCCTCTTCTTTGGATCCTGACCTAGCTGTTTCAAAAGAGAATTGAGTTCAGCATTCACTATATGCACAATTCTCATCGTTAAATGACACTGTGCTCAGTGGCAGACTGGAAATATAGATAAAAAAATAGTTACAGCTGGGAGTTTTAATTGGGTCAAACCTAAAGGCAAAATGTTGGATCACCTCCCTCCATATTTAGCTATGTAAAGACATGGCATTAACATTTCAGAGGTGTTTAATTTTTCTTAATAAAAATTCATTTATAAGGTGTCTGTGGCTCTACGAAAGGAAAATGTTTCTTTGAAAGGTAATGGGTCTTAAGTTTCTTTCTGAATTTGTGTGCAAGTGTAGATGAAAACTGAAAGGAAAAGGAAATTGTGACGTTCTACACAGACTTTCGAGGTACAGAGGTTTGAAAGTCAGGAAAAAAGTGTCTTGGAGGTATAAAGTATAATAGCAGATTTCTGTCTGGCAGTCACTAAGAAAAACTTTCCTTGACCATGTATTTTTGTCATCTACTTAGGCAGGAAAAGCAATCAAGAGATTGCAGTGTGGATGTACTCACTGTGTTACAGAAAGATCAAGCCTGAGTGGAAGTCTTTGAAGCGGTGTGTTTTAGGTTAGTAGGGAGTTCATGTGATTTTCTGTGTTCATTGAGTCATTGGCGACAGACTAGAGTGATGCTAGAGCTATCAGTGTCACCTCACACATACTGGTGTGCTCCTTTTCTTCCCCATCAATGCAGCAAGTCCTGGAGAAATGCAAGAGGTTTTGCTTCCCTATGAAACAGTCTTTCTTACCACATCATGTTCATTGAGAGCACCTCAGGCCACATCTGTTAGTCCAGTGCTTTGCTTTTCCATCCCACTGCATTTCTGGGGTCCAATCTTTTCTCAACTGTTTTGGTTTCTTTGGATAACTGCAAATGTAAGCTATGTGTAAATGATTAACCAGCTAGATCTCCTGACTCAAATTGAGTGATGTTTATGGGGAATTTGTTTTTATCTTGGGAATTTGGATTTCACTGCTTTAGTAAACAGATGGGAAAGAGGGATACTGTTTTAGTTAAAAGACCTGAATAAACAGTTAATTCTACTCTCTTAAGCTGAGCTTAGTCTTGTTCTCTAGAGCAGATAGAAGTTGTGCATGAGTTGATTCAGAAGCACTTTTTAGAAAAACTGAGAAGTTGTATATTCAGAGAATAAAGAATACCCACATAGTTGGGAATATTAGTGTGCAGCCCTCTTGCTGATAAGCATCATTAGCTGACGTAGTGAGATAAAACAGATACCCTTGAGTGCAGAATTGTTTGCCACTGTTTGCAGCAATGCTGAAGTGAAGTTTGTGAAGTTGTCTGCTTGAAACTGAAATAACAGAAGCCTTTACAGACCTGTTTCATGTTGTTTTGGTCTTCAAGTCCAAAACACACTATGCTTTTTGAATAATTTGTAATAGTTTCTTGCCTTTCTTCCACAGAAAAGAAAACCAAGGCCTAGAACATCCAAACTTGAATGGCAGACATTTAGATAGTTATATCTACATGGTCTGATTTTTTTTTTTTTCTTGTGTGTGTGTGTATATATATATATATATATATGTTTTGATAAGAATTCCGAGTGCTTTGAGCACAAGTAGGGGAATTCAGCATCCTTGATAATGAGACCTAGATGGTTATGGATGTGCAGGTATGCTGGAGAAGGTTCTGATCCAGCCTGATTGTGTAGAGCCAGAGTAACGTACTGGTGGAAGGCTAAGCTGATGTAAGTCTCTGTGGGTGGCACAACCTGCCACTGCATTGTCAATTATAGGAGCAGAGTGCAAACCTTGCCAGCAGGTTTTTACACGGATGATGAAATCAAAGAAAAGCTTGGAGTTAGGCAAGACCATGCTAGGGTTGCTTGGCCCGTATGCACTTCTGGCAAAATACTGTCAATATAGATGTAGTTCATACTCTGTAAACCCCTGTCTTTTCCAGCATAACTTACCACATGCACATTGAACACTCTCTGTCAAAGTAGTTATGCCAGTAAAAGCAGATTTGATGCTGTGACTGCAATGTTAGAGGCTTCAGCAGGATAAACTGCAGGTCCGGGCAGGG